CGCATCCGGATTATCATTCCCTCAAAGCAGCATCCATTCGTATTGACTAGCCAGGGCTGAAAAAGGTGCGCGACCAGCGGTCAGAGGCATTGACCATTGCCTTGGAGGCATTTTTTAAAAATAAAAATTTTTTTTTTTTTTATTTAAAGAAAAACAAAAAAAACACCCCAAACATTTGTTACACATCACAATTTTATGCATACTGGTAATTAAATTATATATTAATGCTTGCTTCAAACCACTAAATGTACTACTGTTTCGCTATAATACTGTAGTGTAAAGAAATAATTTGGTCCTGAGGGCATTTGATCAAGATAATTTTCATGGTCGGAGGTGAAAAATATTTTTTTCCAGGCCTGTGACTAGCATTATTCAGAGTATCACATTATTCAGAGTTCCTACAGTAATACTATAAAGCTGTATAAGAAAATGTATTAATCAAAACAATTTTTTCTATAACATATTTTTTAGACTCTATAAATCGAAGTTTTTGTATTGTAAAATGCAAATAATTTAGTTGTAAGTAATCATTAGGAAATCACCAGCCCAGACAATGTGTTGCTATGACATTAGACTTGCCACAAGTCTCTTATTTGTTATTATTTTTCTCATTCTGGACAGCGCCACCAACGAGAAAGTTAATTTAGAGATAGACGGAATAAGCGACTTGTAAAACACTGAAATCAGGCACCAGGATGCCAAAAGAATGACGTAATCTTATATTCCGTATTTGGATAAATGGGCGGACCGAAATAAACAATTTCAACCAATCAAATGTTTATATTTTTGGAGCCACGAAACTGAGTCACTCGCGTCGAGTTAGGCATGACTAAATTTAAATAGTCCTCCCTAATAAAACGGGCCTAAAATATTTAGAATAGACCCTAGTAAGACTAATTTTGGCAATGGCAAAAACAATTAAGCTTAGACTAGATGGCATACCATACAAATACAACAAAACTTTAACTTTCCAGGAAGATGGCTCAGGCCTCGTCTGGAGTCAGGAGCAGTAGGCCTAGCCTAGACTAGTAGTAGAGGCTTGGCGTATTTTTAAGTTCTTACTTACAGAGGCCTACCTTTTTAACAATATTCTACCCTAAAGGCCTAAATCTGTAGCAGCAGCGGTGAGCAAGGTTTCTAGCCTACGGTTATTAGTCCATGTCGTTCTCAGCAGGCCAGAACTACTAACTGTTTTAATTCAAGTAGGTAGCCAAAAGAGAGCTAGAGCTTATTCTAGTCGAGACATCCGCATCTTCAATTTTGAAAATTTACGAAGATTGATTAATATGCATGAAGTTAGCCAATCACGTGATTTACAAAATCAGTCATGCATACGATATCCCACATCAAATTTGATGTGGGAAATTGCACGCATGAATCGTTTGCCCAGGCCCTAATTCGAAAAAAAAGAAATCGAGTATGGGACGCCAATTAAAATTGGTATGGCACGCACTAAGTGCAATAAAGAGTGAGTAACCTAAAATTAGGGCCTGGAACCCAGGCTACTATGACATGTACATGCATGCTATATACAGTAGTCAAAGCCTAATTTATCAATAATTGGTAACAAAATTAAGTTTTTTATTGCTTTACAGATAGAGGTTATGAACTGAGTTTTAAAAGTGCTGACGATTCAAACTTAAAACTCACAAGCTATGGAGAGTACCTTTATGAACATCTTATTCTATTTTGCCCCTCAGTTGAGGGTAAGTACAGTACTTTGGTTTTTTTTTACAGAATATTTGTTTTTCTGGTACTGAAGATTCATACCACAGCAATAATATGTTTAGAGATCATATTATAGTAAAACTTTATTTACAAAGAATAAATTCAAGTACCTGTAGGCATAATTTTTTTTTAATTTTTTTTTTTTAATTGTATGACAATAAGATAACACCAAAAATTACAATTTATAGAATTAATTGTAAGAAATGCATTATATGAAGTATTGAAATTGTTGGTAAGTTTATGTTGCCATTTCTGACTTGATTCAACTCAAAGCAACTCAACTTGATAGCAACCACAATCACGCAACCATTCAAAATGCAAGCAACTACAAGATACAAGAAAATTGTCTTCGGAAGTACAGAGAAGGTTGCCGTACATGGCAATTCTTGTTTTAAAATGATGTCTAACAACGGGAATCGATATTAAAATAGCTTTCAGAATATTATTAAAAAATAATTCACTTGTTAAAAACTTGAGTGTAAAAATGAGAATGAATTTGGCACAAAGGAGTTTTTTTTCGTAATGACAGTTTGTTATGTGGGAGATGGAGTCTTATTCCGGACCTACTGTATTTTAAAAGTGAAGGAGTGTTGGGACAACTTTAGTTGCTCTGAGTGCATTTGTGATTTCCTACTGTAGATACTCTCCAACTCATTGCTATGCAATGCTACCATAATTTCATACGACATTAACAAACTTGAGTAACTGGGTCACTAATGTTGCACAATAAATTTCAATTGCTTGTAATTTAATGAACGTTAATGCAACTGAGAGCAACTGGCATTTCTTTCATTGCTTTTGGTCACCTCACTGAGTGTCGCATCACAATAATGACTCATATTTGTCAACCAGTTTTTAAGAGAAGTTGAGTAAGTCGCAAGGGTGACATCAGTTTTGCTAAAATCCATTCTTCCAAAGGTTATTTAATTCATATGTTTGGAAGTGTATTTTTTTCTTTGTTGTATAGCACATTTAATGTCAGCTGTAAACCAAGAAGTTTGTTTTAAAGATGTTTTTATTATTAACTTTTAAGAATTTGGAGGCAACATTGGAGAAGATACAGTTTTAGATTTCATTGATGGTGGGGGTAATGTTTTAGTAGCTGCAGGTTCAAGTATAGGTGAGTGCAAGGACAGTAAACTTTCAAAAAGCAATGAAGGATATAAGATTTTAATACAGAAATATGTTTCCTTTTTATAGTATAGGTGAGTACAAGTGCAGTAAACGTAATAAAACAGTAAAGGATATACGATTGTGATATGGTAGTATGTTTCTAACTTCCATTTCCTCCTTTTTTTGAAATTCTTGAGTTGAAAATGTTATATTGGATGATTTACATTGCTTGAAATAAGGGTATACAGTATTATATTGCATTGTGTGTTGTGATGTACTCCGTTTAGGCGAGACTTTTTTAAATCTTTGTTTCATAAAGTTATTTTTTTTAAAGGTCATCAGAGAATTGCAGGAAAAAAAAAAAAAATAAACTGTTGTTTTCTTTTTTAGCAAATAGTTTTGCCAAAAATTTCCAGATGGGAGGAGAAAATAAAAATAAAATGTTATAAAATGATTGTAAACATCGGAGTATTGGAAAGGTTAAATGCTTTAAATTTATATAAGTAGAAAGAAATATACATATCTAATTTTTGGAGATTTCAACACAGAGGCAGGTGTGAAAAAATTTCTGAAATTTATGTTTGTTTTTTTTTTGTGGTGGAAAGTGCGCTAATTGGCCAAAAATAAAAAATGAAATCATCATTTTTGGCCTGCAGCAGGTTTGCAAAACAAGGTATTAAGTCTCGCCTTAGGGATTGATAAATGCCTTACAGTATCGGTATAGTTATTGTGAGGAAAAATACATAATTTCTATATTTTGGGGCTGTTCATTTTGGTCAGTATCTCGTCTTCTATCAAGAAAAAAAATATATATATTTGTGTTTAATAAATTGAATAGGCTTATATTTAAATCCTTTGGTTACAGGTGACCCTATAAGGGAAATTGGAAGTAATTGTGGTGTTGAATTTGATGAGGAAAACACAGCTGTAATAGATCACCTTAACTTTGACGTCAAAGATGAAGGCATGGTGAGTATATGAAATTGAAAGTAGGGAGCTTTTCATTGCGTGACTGAATGTCATCTGCGCATGCAAGAACGTTAAGTTCTGCCCGTTACGTGGATTCTAGGACACAATTCGGCCAAATCTATATATGCAGAGTACGTAGGACGCCCTGTTGGACGGTCATGCATGAGTGGTTCTGTTCTAGTGTCGCGTCATCATGCAAATCGAAAGCTCACTATTCATAGCTTTAGGAGTGTCACTGATTGAACTTAAACTGCTTCAGAATATGCAAATAAAATTGGAAAAATATGTTTATAATGGCCAGCTCACCTCATATGTATTTTGCAATATGGTACATTGCCAACAAGTCTGAAAAGTAAAACTGGTTCAGCTTTGCTGATGGCATCGATGACAAATTAGGAAGTGTTTATGTCGCGTCAAGAGCAGTTTCAATATGTAGCAATTTTATAAAACTAGGCTTAAGAACGAAAATGATAATAGTAATCTTCCTTTTTAATTTAAAGTTTTATCATATTAAATTTCATTGTTAATTCTTATAATAATAATTTTATTATGACAATAATTGTCTTCAATTTTAATGTAATTTTTTATATGTTTTATTGCCATTCCCTCGTGTAATTGTAACTTGCAATTTGGCCATTGGCCACGAATTGTTACAAACGAGGAACTTGTACTTGAATTTGAATAAAGTGAAATATAAATATCAGTAGTTTAATATATTTTGTTTTTATCCTTTTGTAGCATACATTGATCGTAGCTGATCCCTCAAACATCATAGAATCTAAAACCATTGTAGGAGATAAGAAATTAAATCCGATTTTATTCAAGGGTGTTGGGTAAGTATACAGTAGTAATATTAAATTGAAAGGTTGTATTTCCACAAAATACTATGCTAACAGGAGACCGAATCCCTAGACCACCCTCCAAGTTCACCCTCCAATTAGGGCCCAAACGTGGCCCCAAATTGGAGGGTGAACTTGTATAAGACATTAAAGAACACTAATTTTGAAGAAAGTGAAATATATCTATTTATTAACACTATGTATTTTCATAATTTTAGAATGACTGCCGACCCGGAGAACCCCTTGGTAATGGATATCTTACACGGTACTTCTTCCTCATACTCCCACAATCCTTCTGATGACATCGTCGACTATCCACACGCTGTTGGTAAGAACACACAGTTCATCACTGCCCTCCAGGCCCGCAACAATGCTCGCGTTGTGTTCTCTGGTTCCTTGGAGTTTTTCAGCGATGCTTACTTCCAGTCTGCCGTTCAAAAGGCCGTTGCAGGCTCTGAAAGGTACAGAGCAATTCCATAGTGCTTTTTAATTTTCATCTTAATCATAGGATGATTAGTGTATGTATATTTATGATTTAATACATAAGTCTAATTATTGCATTAATAGTAAGCAAATTATGCACTTTTTTTTTTCATTTAAAATTTATACAGGTATTCAATTCAGGGATTCATCTTTATTCTGCATGAATTTCAATACTGTAAAGCCCCTTATTTTCGTAACCCTTAATTTTCCGGATAAAACGATGATCACAAAAATTAAGCTATTGTACTTAAAAAAGCTGAAAAATATTTCAAATTGCAAAATCGCAAAAATAAGGTTTTACAGTGTATTATTAGGGAGTTTTCGCTGCACGACGTTAACCTTAACGTTAACAGATGACGTCATAATATATTCATCTTGCGTTGTGGAGTTTTCGTGCTCGACGGACGTTAGTTATGGGTTTGCGCATGCATATTTTTTATTTGTTTACAAAAGGGGCAACGTTAAAGTTAAGTTGTTTTTTTTTTGGTGTAGAACAGCGTAAGAAAATACACTAAAGTACGAAAACTTTTTCTAGTGGGTCTTTTTAGTGTTGTAGTGTAAGAGCAATCTCTTGCTCTTTGCTGAAGAGTATACTACCTGTACATTCTTGCACATGGGCCATGTTGCACAGAGGGACTATGAACTTGATTGAATCAGGGATCCAGTGATCTCCATGATTGTCAAACACAGTGGCTACCACACATTTAGCTGACTAAGATATAATGCTCTCTTTGAAATCGTTATCCCTAGATAATAATATCGGCAGATTTTTAGTTTCACTATTTGTTTTTTTTTTTTGTTTTTTTTCACATAGATTTGCTAAGTCTGGCAACCAAGACCTTGCATATGCTCTCTCTCAATGGGTGTTCAAGGAGAAGGGCGTACTTCGTGTCACCGGTGTTAGCCATCATATCGTCGGACAAAAGACACCCCCAGCTGCTTACACCATTGAAGATCATGTGGTAAGGCCTTTCTATTTCATAGCTTGCCTTAATACATTTGCTTATGAGGCCAAAAAAAAATATTTTTTTGCCAAAGCACAGTGAAATTAAAAACTTATAATCAGTGTTGTCCTTAAGTTTATGATTGATACATGTGGTAAAGGCAAACCAAACCAGTCACTTGTCGCAAATCCTGTTTCAGAGATTATGACCAAAACATCCTGGGATGTCAACATTTTTGAAATCTACTTTATTTCACCTTTATATATGTTATTTTCTCCATTTTCAATGTTAAAACAACAATTTTTAAGGATTTAGTGATGGTTTCTGCCTGAGAAATGCCTGAAATCATAAACTTTGAAGGCTGATTTCTCAA